AAAAAAAAAAAAAAAAAAGGCACCATAAGTTCTCACTCCAGTCTGCAGAACCGGCAGCCTGGCCCCCAGGCCATCCCTGGCCTGAAGGTGGGGTTTCACTGGGTACCCACCTTTTTTTGGCTGGGAACCTGTCTGCCTCCTGCTGCCGTCCGTGATGCCCAGGCTGTTCATGCTGAGGGGTGCCTGTAGGCCCTTGCCAAGCAGCCCTCACAACCCACTCAGCGTCCCTCCTGTGCTCATCGGCACCCAAAGTCCAGAGGGGGCTGCGGCAACAGAGGGCTGGCGTGTCAGCACTACCCCAAATGTGCTGGGTTGTGACAGTGTCTGGGTTTGGCTTCAGCTTCACTCTGAAATTGGTGCAGGTGCTGGGAGTGAGGACAGGCCAGGCAGCGGGAGTAGGCACTTCTGAGCCTGCAGGGGAAAGGAGCCTTCCGAGGCCCCCAAGAGTGCAGAGATGCCCAGGTCCACAGCTGTGGCTGGGTGGCTGCAGCTGCACCTGGGAGGGTGGGGCTCCCACCCCTCCAACTCGGAAGGGGTTGGAGCTCCTGCCTGTTCCTGGCTTCCACCGACTCTGTGAAGTGCACAGCCCTGGCTGCATCTCCCTCACTGCAGCCAGTGTCATGGCAGTGGCCGTTCCAGACAGGCCACTGTTGCTGTCACCACTCTCTACTCCATCAGACTTTATTCATTTAGGGTATACCTTTCCAGATCTTTCTTCCATGCATTTATAAACAAATATGAATATATTTTGTTCAAAAAGAATTTATAATGGTACACAATATTCCATAAATGCTAATTGGTGGATGGAATCATTTTCACATGTGTTTCTCTCCAGTTTGCTTGCTACCTTCCAGGTAGAGTGGCTAGGCATATTAGGAAAGTAATATCTCTGAATTTCTGATTTTTCCCATCAGCCATGTTGACTAGATGTGGCCGTAAGAGTTTGCTGTGTTAGTCAACTCAGGCTGCCATAACAAAACATTATTAAGTTGTGTGGCTAAAAGAATAGAACTTTATTTCTCATGGTTCTGAAGCCTGGGAAGTCCAGCATGGTCAGTTTCTGGTGAGGGCTCTCTTCCTGGCTTGCAGACAGCCACCTTCTTGCTGTGTCCTCACATGATGGAGAAAGAGAGAGTTCAATCTCTCTCTCTTTTTTTTAATAAAGACACCAGTCCTATTGAATTAGGACCTCATCCTTATGGTTTCATTTAACTTCAGTTACCTCTTAAAGACCCTATCACCTAATAGTCATTTTAGGGGTTAGGACTTCAACATGTAGATTTTGGGGAGACATGACTCAGTCCACAGCATTGTCCATGATGTCTGTACATGCCTCAGGGCAACCATATACATAGTGGGGCTGCTCCAATTCATCTAGTTCAGGGCTCTGCCCCCAGTGGGCACTCTTTAGGTTTGTTGACACATGTTCTTCTTAGATTAGAACTGCTCCTTGCCCTGTGACTTGAGATAAGCTGAGGGCCTCCCAATGGCCTCCATCCCTAGCATTCCATTTGAATTAGTGGAAATTTCAACTACCACTTTGTGAATGGTTCCAGGTGTACAGGCTTGGGGAGACCAAGATAGCTGGAAAGCCAAGCTTAAATGTTAAATCAAGCTTGGGGTGGAGGGCAGTTACAATCACCTAAGGATCTAGGAAGAACGTACCATCATGGGATGACTCAGGACTGTTAAAAATAGGGGGATAGGCCTATGTCTTGATGGATTAAGTGGCACGCCAAAGCCAGTTAATTAACCTCACACTTCAGCTCAAATCTTGGTTAGTTTTAAAGGCTCAGAAGGACAAAGAAGCATACAGAAAAACATATGGAGTCCCCACAGAGTTACTGAGAAGAGAGAACTGTTCACTGGGAGATTTGAGGGCTAATTAAGAAGGGGATTTCAAAGAAGAAAACTGTCAAGTGGCCACATAGGATTCTGTCGTGGGGATTCTGAGTCACTGGGATGCTGTGAGACATATTTCTGTTGTGGTTTAGATGCCAGGATGAGAGTGTGAAGCAGGGCTTTGGGGTAGATGGAATTGGAGGATGTTTGTGGAAGAAATATTGGGAGGGAAATGAGCTCCTGGCTTGATGTGGCATGAATACTTGCAAGACACGTCAAACATGAAGACTGCATATGTTATCTAGAAATGAAATGTCATTCTGTCAACTGAAATGACAGAACCATGTGTCAAGTGGGACGGCAGAGTAGATCTGCAAAAACCAGAAGGTTGGTTGAGAGTGGGCAGAGGACCAGGACTGTGAGGCTAGTAACCTGCTTTCATTGTGGGGTGAGTTCCATCAGCCATGAATGTGGATTAGGGACAATTGTTCAGCTTGAGAAGTTCATATCTGGTAGCTACACTGTGGAAAATCACTGTGTTTCATCAGGCAGTGGGAAAAGAAGGTGCCAGAATGGTTATAATCCTAGACTTTGCAATCAGACAACCTCCAGGACTTTCTGGAGGCTAGTTATAATTTCTCCAAGCCTCAGTTTCCTTATCTGTAAAGGTGGATAAAAATAGTACTGATATGATTTGGCTGTGTCCCCACCCAAATCTCATCTTGAATTGTAGTTCCCATAATCCCCACACGTCATGGGAGGGACCCAGTGGGAGGTAATTGAATCATGGGGGCAGTTACCCCTATGCTTTTCTCGTGATAGTGAGTTCTCATGAGATCTGATGGTTTTGTAAAGGGCTTTTCCTCCTTTGCTGGGCACTTTTCCTTCCTGCCACCATGTGAAGAAGGACGTGTTGGCTTCCTCTTCCAATATGATTGTAAGTTTCCTGAGGCTTCCCCAGTCACGCAGAACTGTTAGTCAATTAAACCTCTTTTATAAATTACCCAGTCTTGGGCATGAAAATGGGCCAATACAAGTACCTACCTGTTAGGGCTGTCAAAAGGACTAAATGAGGCCAAGTGCAGTGACTCACACCTATAATCCCAGCACTTTGGGAGGCTTAGACAGGAGAATGGCTTGAGCCCAGGAGTTCGAGACTAGCCTGGGCCACATAAAAGACCTTGTCTCTACAAAAAAATAAAAAAATTCACCTGGCACAGTGGCATGTGCCTGTGATCCCAGCTACTTGGGAGGCTCAGGTGAGAGAATCATCTGAGTTCAGGAGGTCGAGGCTGCAGTGAGCCATGATCACACCACTGTACTGCAGCCTGGGCAACAGTGAGATCCTGTCTTAAAAAAAAAGAACTACATGAAGAAATGCCTGGAAAGGGCTTGGATCATGGTAAATGCTTAAGAAATGTTAGTTATAATTATCACAGTTAAGCAATATAATTTGTGTCCTCATAACAAGGAAGAACATTCAGTTTCTTGTGTCAGAAAGAATAGACAGTGAAGAAGGAAATAAACAGAACACAGGTGCACCTAAATGGATTTTGGCCAAAGTCATGCAGAAAGGAGCCTAGGAGAGTTTTCAAGCTATGTTAGAAGTGTTTATCAAGTTCGGAAGGGAGATTGAGTAATATGGGTCTGGGATGGTTGAAAGGGAGGAAAAAAAGAAAGTGAATTTTATATCCCTGTTATCTTGACTGTCAGTAGCCCGTGTAAAACACCCATTGTGTGCAGGGTGCCCCATTAAATATAGGATTGCACAGATATAGATGAGCGGACTTCTCTTCACATGGAGTTGACCATACATGTTGTCATGATCAGTAAAGCAAGTGTAGCGATGACGTAAGACCTGAATACAGCAAATGGGCAGGATCACAAATCTAGCACAGGCCTGACTGTATCCAGCTGAAGGCACATCACCTCAGGGACTTCATATATCTCTCTGATATCTTGCATACCCACTTCTTATACTGTACTTTTCTAGATGCTCTAGGAAATTTGCAATCTTATCCCTGATTTTTGTGATGTTTTGGAAGGTAACTGGGGAGCCTATTCAGGAAGTTTTGATAATAGTCCCAAATGGGGACAGTGGGATTGGAGAACAGAGAGCAGGTGCAGAAGCTGGCGATACTGCATTGGTAAAATCAGCAGGACCCGGCAAGAATGAGGGATAAAGGGGCATGTGCTGCAGTTCTAGCCTGGGCAACCACAAAGTCCTATTTGCAGAGCTTGGGGGATACTGGAGGAACCTGGACGAGGGGTTCTCATGTTTTATAGTGTTTAGGAGTCAACTTTGGAGATTGTTAATGCAGATTCCTAGGATTCACCACAAGCCTACTGAATCTGAATCTCTAAAGTAGACTTGGAAATCTGCCTTTTTAGCAGGTACCCCAGAGGATTCTGATGCAGGTGGTCTGCAGATCACGCCTTGAAAAATGCTGGTCTAGGGAAAATAAACGTCTTAGCTTTGGTCCTTCAGAAAGCAGAGTCGGAGGCAAGGACCCTGGTGCTAAAACTTCATCTGGGAGGTGAAATCCCAGGGTAAGGGTGTGTGGGGCACAGGGAGAGACAATGGGATACATGAATTTATTTCCTTTTCTTTTTTTCTGCTGGCTACCATTTCAAAATAAGCCATGAAGGATCAAGCAGGTCACTCAGCATGTAGGGCTCTTCCAGGTAATTTACGGGAGGAATCCGGCCTCAGCATAGCGGGAGAAAGAAGGAAACAGGAATCCGCCTCTCTCCCACTCTACCCCTGCTCCTGTTTCTCATTGGTAAAGTGCTCCATAGGGGCTCAGGGTTGTATCAGCCACCCTCTCAGTGGCCTCTCAGGAAGCCGCACCTCAGACCATTAGGGGTAGAGGGGCACCCAGGACAGATGGGATCCTGGCCTAGAGAGGAAAGAAGAAGGAAGCAGTGCAGGACATCTGAGAAGGTACACAGACTTGTTTCCAAAGAGAGTAAAGAAGTGAGGCTGGGAAAGGTAGATTTTTTTCAGTTCTATAATTAATTACAGTTTTGAAGTTGAATAAGAAAGATTTCTAGGGAACTTGTCTAAATGGAGTTATATTAACAATGGGAATAAGAAAGGAAGCCTAGAATTTGTACCCATTGTACACTTTCTTTAAATTTTTCTTTATTTGTATCAGAACAACTTCCAGTAAAAGAAGGCACTGAGGATTAAATGCTACGTGGGAGCAGTTGCTGATTTTTGCAATGGGAGGCTGCATAGATTCAAGGTATCACTTGTTTATTTTATATCTTGAATTAACTTTCCACCTTCCCAGTCCAAAGTTCTAATAAAAGGTTTCACTTGGACTAGAGAGCAAATGAGCTTGTGAATGTCATCCAAAATCACACAGCTTTTTCTCTGAAGACCTGTAAGTTCCTAAGACACTCTAAAAGGAATATAAAAATAGTAATTGTAATTCTTAAGGAGTGCCAATTGCATACTGGATTCCAGAGAGTAATAACTCCGCTTAATGTTTACATGAAGCTTTCCCTCTGTGTGTTACCAGAACTTGGCTAACATTATATGCTGTCAAATGGCATTAATCTGTCGCAGAAATAGGGGGAATTTAGTCACAGGAAGTTTAAATAACTGATCATGTCCTACAAGGCGTTGGCGAGAAATGGACAATTAGACTTACTTTCCACTACCATCCTGAACTATGTAAAAATATGTTGGGTGGCTGTGAGATCTGATTCTAGGAAGAAATATCCCTTGGCTCTCTTAAAGATGTTGATAACTCAGTTGTGAGAAATTGATTTTAGGGGTGTGTGTGTGTGTGTCTGCCTGGGGACAGGATGCAAACAAAATAGCTGTTTTGAATGCAGTTGAACTGTGTGTGAGGATAGGTTAAAGGATGGGTGACGACAGGTAGGCAATTCATGGTTTGCAGTAGAAGTTAAAGGATGGAGAAGGGAACAATGTGTAGGTTCTTAAGTGCCTATAGGTAATGTGGATCAAGAAGTAAAGAAAGGTTTTGAGCAAAAAAGGAAAAGGCAAAATGGAGAATAGAAAGAAATGAGAAGATAGTGTTAAGCAAAGAAACAGAAGGAAGGAGAGACAAACTGCTGTAGGAGGTCAAAATAATCCATTCAGGGAATTATTGGAAGAGATACATGCCATATAAAAAGAAAAGCAGGCGGGGCATGGTGGCTCACACCTTAATCCCAGCACTTTGGGAGGCTGATATGGGTGGATCACCTGAGGTCAGGAGTTTGAGATCAGCCTGGCCAACATGGTGAAAACCCGTCTCTACTAAAAATACAAAAATTAGCCGGGCGTGGTGGTATGTGCCTGTAATCCCAGTTACTCAGGAGTCTGAGGCATGAGAATAGCTAGAACCCACGAGGAAGAGGTTGCACTGAGCTGAGATCTCAGCACTGAGCTCCAGCCTGGGTGACAGAGTGAGATACTGTCAAAAAAAAAGAAATGAAAAAAAAAAAATGCAGGCTGCTTACTAGCTGCATGTTTGAGAGAGATGTTGGTTATTGGTGACTGGGTCTGTAATGTTTAGGCAAAAAGGTTTTATTGAGCAACAGCCTCATACAAGGCATTGAGGCAGCAAGGGGAAGAAGAGTTTGCTTCTTGCTTACTACATGCCATCCTTCCTCCCTGGACCTCCAGGTACAGACCCACTTAGAGAAAGAAAGTCAGCAATGGTGGTTGAACAGGATGCGTTGTCCCCAAGGTCTCTTCCACCTCTAGAATTCTTTGATTCTGGCCGAGGTCTCTATGGCTCCACAAAGGCTGTAGTAAGTGTGTTCTTGGTAGGCTGGATCTCTGTTAGGTTCAACAGTTGTTGTTTTAACTTCTGCCTCCCTTATTGCTACCAGATCTTATTGCTACCAGATAGGATGGTTTTAGTTGCAGATGGACAGAAAACCTAACTGAAGCCAGCTTAAGCATAAGAGGAATTCATTGGCTTATAATACCGAAAAGTTGTGAGTGGATTCATTCAGCAATAGCTTAATCCGGGACCTCAGATGCTATTCCAGTGCTCGTGTGTGTGTGTGTGTGTGTGTCTCCTCCCTTTCCGTGAGTGTCTCCATTTTCAGGTCTGCTCTTCCCTATGGCAGCAAGATGACTGCCACAGCTCCAGTCATCACCTTTCAATCCCCAAATTGCACAGAGAAACATCTACCCAAGTGTGAGCTCCCACACACATCCTGAGAGTCATGCTGATTGTATTGTTTCAGGGCGAACACTTATCCTTGAACCAAACACTCTGGCCAGAGGGATTAAAATGATCAGTACCGGGCCACATGCTCCTCCCTGGAGCCCGAGGTATAGCCCTGCCTGAGCCTTGAGCATTGGGGAGTCTGGGATGACATAACTAGGAGACAGGGAAATGGATTCTGGGGAGCCAAAAATTAGTACTGTGAAACCTGGGAAGAGACATGAGGTTCTGATCCAAAAAACAACAGGAAAAGGCCAGAGGGGCAAGAAAGAATCCTGATCCAGAGATGGCCCCAGGATTGAATGACAGGTCCAGAGTGGCAGCTCACTGCCCGCTCAGGGTGCCCTTTGTTCCGGGCACTGAATCAGGGATTTTGGATGACCCTGGTACATAGTTACTTCCAGGAGATTACAGGAGGGGAAATACTCCACTTCCTGTTTAGGATTACACTCTCAACCCTCCCCTCCCACACAAGCCATATGTTCATTCTTAGCCTCAGCATCCAGCCAGAAAAGCCCTTTGTGTTTTCTTGGCAAAACTGGAGCCCAGTAATTAAAGTCCATATGCAAAGCTGCTCCCTCCAGCCCACACTGAAGTCTTTTAATTAGTATGTAATTGGTCAGAGAGGTACTATCAAATAGCTCCCAGTCTGGCCGGCTGGAAATGCAGTGTTTGAAAAGTCCCAGACCAGAGAGGGATAATAAATGCTTTAAGTCCCATCTGTTGGAATGATTTGTTTAAGGTATAAATCGCTGTTCTGTTACTATTTTTAACAATTCTGCTTGTAGCGTTTCTTCAAATATGGTAACAACTACCAGAGCATTTATTGAAGGTAGGAATATGAGTAAATGAACTAGAAGAAGGCTGAGCAAATCCATGTTTTCCCTTCAGATAAATTCCTATAATGCAGTGGAGGTGGGGAGAGAAAGAGGTGAGTTGGGCATTTGGTTAACTATTTGTGGTCTTCACAATGAAGAGCCCATTAACCTTGCCCCAAACACGGTGTGTGTGAGAATCTGGTGATGTGAGGAAAGACTTTGAATGCACCTTGGTAGACAAGGGTCAGCAGTTGCAGAGAAGCAAAAGGAACAAGCTGGAAAGCGGACACTTCATTGCCCTCTAGAAGCCATGGCGGTTCAGAGTGAAGCTGGAATAAGGTTTGAGAAGCAGTGGTCTAGGGCAGGGGTCCCCAGACCCTGGGCTGCAGACCCTGTTGGGAACCGGGCACACAGCAGAAAATGAGCAGTGGGTAGGTGAACATTAACACCTGTGCCCCGCCTCCAGTCAGATCACCAGTGGCATTAGATTCTTGTGGGATCGGAACCCTGTTGTGAGCTGCTCATACAAGGGATCTAGGTTGTGCTCCTTATGAGAATCTAATGCCTGATGATCTGTCACTGTCTCCCATCACCGCCAGATGGAACCATCTAGTTGCAGGAAAACAAGCTCAGGGATCCTATTGATTCTGTATTATGGTGAGTTGTATAATTATTTCATTAATATGTTACAATGTAATAATGATAGAAATAAGGTGCTCAATAAATGTAATGCACTTGAATCATCTCAAAACCATCCCCCTGACCCCCTGGACCTTGGAAAAATTCTCTTTCACAAAACTGGCCCTTGGTGCCAAAAAGGTTGGGGACCACTGGTTTGGGGATCTTTAAAATTCCATCCCACTCTGACAACACAGGTCAATATTGATGCTATTGATGCTATTATCATTCTTTTTTTTTTTTTTTTTGAGACGGAATCTCGCTCTCTCACCCAGGCTGGAGTGCAGTGGCACGATCTCAGCTCACTGCAAGCTCTGCCTCCCAGGTTCATGCCATTCTCCTGCCTCAGTCTCCCGAGTAGCTGGGACTACAGGTGCCCGCCACCGTGCCCAGCTAATATTTTGTATTTTTATTAGAGACGAGGTTTCGCCACGTTAGCCAGGATGGTCTTGATCTCCTGAACTCGTGATCTGCCCGCCTCAGCCTCCCAGAGTGCTGGGATTTCAGGCGTGAGCCACTGTGCCCAGCCTATTATTCTTATAGTAGTAGTGATAATAGGATAATAATAACAGTGACACCATCATCATCGCGGCTGCCAGCTTTTACTGCATGCTCATTATGTGCCCGGCACTGTGCTCAGTGTTTTACATGAATTGTCTCATCTGAGCTTCACACCCAACTCTGAGGTTGCCACTATTGCTCTGCCTGTTACATAGATGCGGTCACTGATGGGTTTACTAACTTGCTCAAGGTCACCAGATGGTAAGTGGCAGAGCTGGCATGTAACTCTCCCTGGCCATCTGACTCAGAGCCTGGGTTCTTACCCACTACGCTTGCCACCTTCTGCCCAGCATCGCGGAGTACCTGGGTTTTGCTTGACGAAAATGCCGTCGAATCAGGAAGCTGGTGGAGGGAATATGGCTGAGCCCCTTCCAGGTTCTTTTTGTTCAGTTAGCCTTTTGGGCAAACCTGTAGGAAAAACTTAAATTTTAGGACAAAAAAATTCAAACTCATAGAAACACTAGAAAAGCATTTGCCAGGGGCTGGGTGGGGGGCACGGGGTATGGGGAGATGTTGGTCAAAGGGTACAAACTTTCAGTCATAGGATGAACAGATTCTGAGGCACTGATGTACAGCCTGATGTGACTATAGTTAATCATACTGTATTGTATACTTGAAATGTGCCGAGAGTAAACCTTAAACCTCATCAAAAAAAAAAAAAAAAAAAAGGTGATGGATATGTTAATTAATTTGATTGAGGTAATCAATTTACAATAGATACATATATTAAATCATTACATTATACTCTTTAAATATATACAATTTTAACGGTTATACCTCAATAAAGCTGAAAAAGATAAAACCAAGAACAGCGAGGTTTAGAAGCAGAGATGGCTATGTGACACGGCTCTCTAGGAGAACGAGTCTGAGGTCTCCCTCAGCACCTTACCTTCCCAGCTGGTCCCTTCTCGGTGTGGAATTGAGGAAGCGTTGCCACAGCCCACAGGTGCCGGTGAGAATGTGCGCCTGTGTTGAGGAGGCTGGGGGAGGTGGATG